AGAGGACAGAGAGGCAGCCCAAAGAACAGCTGATGGGGGGGAGGAGGGATTCTCCCCTCATCCACCCGAGCCGGGCTAAAATGCCGGCTTCGGGTGGATAGGGGGGAGGAGGGATTCCCCCCTCATGCACCCGAGCTGGGCTAAAATGCCGGCTTCGGGTGGATGGGGGGGAGGAGGGATTCCCCCCTCATCCACCCGAGCGGGGCTAAAATGCCGGCTTCGGGTGTATAGGGGGGAGGAGGGATTCCCCCCTCATCCACCCGAGCGGGGCTAAAATGCCGGCGTCGGGTGGATGGGGGGGAGGAGGGATTCCCCCCTCATCCACCCGAGCCGCGTGAAAATGCCAGCTTCGGCTGGATAGGGGGGGGGAGGGATTCAACCCCCCGCATCCACCCGAGCTGGGCTCAAGGAGGGGGGAAGCCGGGCTGGCTAGCTGGCAGTGCTTTGCCATGATCGGAACCGATCATGGAAAGCAATGCTTAACAGCTGATTGGCGGTTTCAAAATGGCCGCCGGCTGTTTTGCCTCACTTAAGAGGCACAGAAAATGGCCGCCCCTATGGAGGATCTTCGCTGAACGGTGAGTTTTCAGTCCATTGGAACGCATTAATTGGGTTTTAATGCTTTACTTTATTGTTGATTGTATTTTTATATGGTTTTAGCTGCTTGTAAACGGCCCAAAATGTTGCATATGCACTAATGGCACAATGTATATACATTGAATGAATGAATTCATTTTGGATGGTGGAGAAGCCTGCACTATCTATTCTACATTTGGGGGGAAAAAACTCCACTAATACATCAGAGGTCCCCAAATAAGCTAGCCATAGGGAACAAAACTCAAAACACATGGAACGGATTAACATCGCTATGCGGGGCACCACTGTATATACATTGAATGAATGAATTCATTTTGGATGGTGGAGAAGCCTGCACTATCTATTCTACATTTGGGGGAAGAAAACCCCACTAATACATCAGAGGTCCCCAAATAAGCTAGCCATAGGGAACAAAACTCAAAACACATAGTGTCTTTCTTGGGAGTGTCTGTATTGTGTCTTCTCTTTTCCAGCTGTGTGTCTCTTTTGATGCCGAAGAAATAACAGTGGAGCTGTCTGAAGGGCAGGAACTAAGATTCCCCAATCGGTTGGGCCTGGAGGCTGTGGACTACTTCTCTGTTACTGGCGATCTTGATGTTAAGTCGATCAAGTTTAAGTGACCTTCCTTGGCATCATAGCTCTTGCTTCACATCTTAAAGGACAACTTACATGAGTAAAATGAGAACAGGATCCTCAGCAGATTGTGTCCTTCCAGTTTCTTTTTTTGTTTCAGTAGTTACATTAACTACAGTATAACTTGATCATTTCTTGCCCGTTACGTTCCAAGATTTGTTTGCCCTCTGGATAACAAACCTCAAAGTTCCGACAACTGTGTAGAGTTCAGAACTTGGAAATGTTTTGGGATTTATTATTATTTTTTGAACTGCAGTTCCCAGGAATCTGGGAGTTGCTTTCTAAAAGTAACATTTCTATTCTTTAGTACAGGTTACAGTTGAGGTTTGGGCCATTGGGAACAGGCTGGTTGCTTAATACCAATTTGGGAAAAGTCTCAAGGACCACCTTTAAGCAGCGGATGAAGACAAGGATATGGGACAAAGCTCAGAAAATTGGGCCTGGTTAGATGTAACTTTCACCGATTAAAGACATTCCTCTGCCCAAGCATTGCTCGGTTCTGTCCATAACTAGTACAGTGGTGCCTCACATAGCAAGGTTAATCCGTTCCGGATTAACCTTCGCTATGTTGAAGCATCGTTGAACGGGGCAGGGAATTCCATTGGAATGCATTAAACATGGTTTAATGCGTTCCAAATGGGCCGAATACTCACCGTTCAGCGATGCTTCTTAATGGCTGGCAGCCATTTTCACGCCCTCCCCTCGCTTAAGGAGGGCCATTTGGGCCATTTCCGGGCTTCCGGCGGCCGCTGAACAGCTGATCGTCGGGGGTTCGTTTTGCGAAGATCGGTAAGCGAAACGCTTACCGATCTTCGCAAAGTGAATTTTGCCCTACCTAGAAAACGTTGAGCGATCGCATTAGCGATCCCAAAAAAGGGATCGCTATGCGATTTCGTCGTTGTACGGTGCGCTCGTTAAGCGAGGCACCAATGTAATGGGTAACCATTTCCTAGGCTGCAATATGGAGCTCAGTTGCATGCAATAATGTTATGGTCCTTAAATAGCCTCTTATCTGTGACTGTAAGTCAGCCTGTAGGTGGCATCCAATTCATAGGCCAGAAGTTCTCCATCTTGAGAGTGTGCTCTAAATTAAAGGAGTCAAGCTAGAGAGACGTATTAAAGGCAGTGGTCAGGTAGAGGGATATCAAAGTCATCTTATTGCGCTCCTCTCTGCCCCCTTACCAGAGGCAGAAAATTCTATAGGTGTGGCCACAAATTTTAGGGAAATCCTTCAGATTGGTAAGTGGGTTATTGTTTCTTCTATTGCTGTTAGGCGCCCAGAGTAGGGCTGTGTCACTGGAGGGGGTGAGATAAAAATGGAATGAATGAATCAAGTTTAAAACATAGAAATTTGAACATGTCTGTCAATGAATCAGGATAAATATGCTGAAAATGTAATTAGAGACATGATTATATTAATAAAATAACTTGGCCTCCATTTGTGTGGGGGTTTTTTTGAATTGTATATTTGCAGTACCTCCTTATCAGAAAACCCTCTTTATCCTCACAAATCACCACTAGTGACTAGTAACTCATTTCCAAGCAGTGAAATGAGGAACATTCCTTTAAGAGATTGTAACTGACACTGACTACTTTGGGAAGCACAAACTATAATTATTTTAAAGTAACTTTCCATGCCCCCCGTAACACCCCTGCAGTATATAGTTGTGTCATTTGCATTTGCTATTAAAGTGTGTGAGTGCACACGCATGTGTGTATACACACACATACACATGCACATATTTGTTTCAATACTACATTGTATACACACACACATTTCAGCACTACATAATAACACAGAGGTATCTTCCCGTTTAAAAAGGAAGAAGGAAGCAGCCAAGCTTTCTTAAATTCAATCTTAAATTCACATTTTACCTCTTGATTTATTGCATGTTTATGGGTTTTACTGTTTTTAAATTGTAATGCCGCCCAGAGTAGACTTTTGGTCTAGATGGGTAGGGTATAACTCTAATAAAATAAATAAATAAAATGCAATTTCCCTCCATTCTTCCTTTATGCCAAGCTGTCACAAGATATAAAACTTGGAAAGCCTTGTTATCAGTTCACCTTTTCACCAAATGGGGAAGGAGGATGGGTCACTTGGGGTGCTCTGATTAATGATGGGATTGGTCCAACTCTGGAGGAGGGGACGTCCTGCAGCTGCACTCCCTGTTTTTCCACAGCACCTTGTAGATCACAGCTGCTGTGTCTCAAGGGGTTGTGGATCCTTGGCACTAGAGGGGTGGAGGGTTGTAGGGCTCCAGCAGGTAAAACAAAGGTGTGGAATTGCAGCTACAGATAATGGCTGAAATCCAGCAATAAGTCCCAGTTACAGTAGTGCCTGATCCTCTGGAACTTGCAGAGAAAATGACTCACCCAATTCTCCCTGATTCAATGTGCCTACTCTAGTTGTGACCTTCCTACTGGATTTCAGCCATTCATTTACAGGAGAAGCTACAAAGACGAGTGGGGAGTCCTTCAAGGAATTGAGGTGGTGGAGGAGGAAGAAGAGGGAGAAGACACACAAGTGTGTGCTCCTTTCCTATTCCTCAGCGGATGCTGTCATGTTTGGGGGTGGGGTGGGGACGCAGCTTTATACATCGGGACTACAGTTCCCAGAATTCTTCCTGCAGAACAGGCTCCTGTTGCAGGGCTTGGTGGACCTGATTTTCTTGTTACTGTTCTATGCAGTAGAGCACAAATCTCAGTTTTATTTCTCTTAAGGAATTGTTTGTTTATTGGAACATCCGTGCTATCATGGTTTAACAAAAAAGACTCCAAGAAGAGCAAATTAACCCAAAGAGGATAGTAGTCACTAGTGGCTTAAGTTTAGATTCTAGGAAGACGCCACATAAAAGGAAAAGGGCCGTGGAGGGAAAAGGAAAACAAATGAGTCCAGGCATTGAGGGGGTCTTACAAGTATCAGCTGGAAGGGAATCTCTGCTCTATTTATAGCAATCGGGAGGAGGCAAAAGTGTTCACACCCAGGAGCTGAAAATAGTTGCACCCCCTCCCAAATGAGCAGATATTTTTCCTGCCTCCCATCTTACCTTTTGCTGCAGCCTGAAGAATTAGCAGCTGGATGGAAGCCAGTTGTAGAAGAGGAAATGTCCTGATCGTAGCCCCGGCTTTACTTTTCTGCCCCAAGTGCAGTCTGATGGAATCACTGATGGCCCCCTCCCTGAAGTTCTTGAATGAGGTATCCCATCATCCCCTGACATTGGTAATAATGGCTGGCACTGATGGAACGTAGAGTCCATGAACATCTGGAGGGCTGTGGCACGCCCCTCCTTGTTTCAGATGCATTGAATGGGTCGCCACAAGGGGACAGGAGTGTAGGAGTAATGGGAAATTAATGATCCCAGGCACACAGATGTTATCACTTCAACCAATCAGAATGGCCAGAGCCACCCTTCACATAGAAGGGGGAGGAGCTATCAATTTAAAGTGACAGTCTGCATGTTGCAAAAAGAAACATTTATTTATTTATTTATTTAT